ATCAACAGTACCTTCGTAAATATGTGGATCACTTTGTCTTCATCATAACTACAAGAAACAAATAAACAAGTGTAATGCTACGAGTTTATGATAACTCCAGTAGTGGTATTTGCCTTGTTTTTGTTGTTTTTTCTTTGACGTAAATAATTTAATAATTGGGTCCATAGAAACGTGATTATGTTTTAGTGTCTCCCATGATTGAAATCAGAAGATATAATTAGATTATATTTAACAACTTCACTCGTCTTTTTTGGTTGACAAGTTTCTGAATTATATTCGTTAAGCAAATCAAATCGATAAACGACGTAAATATTCATGTCCTTCAATCAGCATCTACCACCTCGCAATTACACATTCTAGATCTATATTATATTATTATTTAAAAGTTGGTACATAAAAACAAACACAATAAATGGAAGATTTTTAAAATTACAAATGAAATTATACTAAGATAAAAACTTAAGGCAAACGAATATAATGTTCTAATATACAAATATGTGATCAATTGGAACACGTAATGCTAAACAATAATTCCCATCTATTTTTTAGCGCTTGAATGTGTATAAACAGTAAAATTTTATATTCAAAATGGAAGTGTCCGAGATTTTATCCCAAAATAAATTATTAATTGTTAAAGCTATCTATTTTTTTTTTTTACCAAAAGAAAGCTGTATAAATTTAAGTTCGGCTTCTGTCAAGTTCGATCGACATCTTGGCATATCTTTTTTTGGGGACATTTGCAAAAAGAGTTTTCTTTGTTTGTTTGGCTGTTTGTTTGTGTGTATGTGCGCGCATTTTCTGATTATTAATTCATATACTTATCCTAAAATTTGTTGGACAAAATTGATCTCTGCTAGTTCATCAATCTTTGGTGAACATGTATAACATTCTAAATTTACGCTTTAGAAAAAAATTCTAAATTGATGAATGTTTATAAAAATTATTGTTTGTTTGTTTGTGTTTGTGTATGTGTGTGTGTGCGCGCGCGTGTGCACGTTTTCTGATTATTAATTCATATAGTTATCCTAAAATTTGTTGGAAGAAAATTGAACTCGGCTAGTTCATCAATCTTTGGTGAATATGTATATTTTACCAATAAAAATTAATGAATGTTTATAAAAAATGTTGGGATTCGTTAAAGACTACGTTAAACAATCAGTCAATTTTTGTTGTCAATAATAAAAATCAAACATGATCGCATAGTTTAAACCAAAACTTAGACAACATATAAGAAAAAACAAATATCTATTTTGACAAATAATTTTCACTAATATAAATAAAAGAATTACATTTTTAAATAAAAGGACGATTACATAACACATATCAAAACTAACTGAAAATTGATCATAAACTGACTAGTTAGAGCAACTCCAATAGTATCATTAGAGTCTTTAACATTAGAATAATATTTTTTTTAATTCTTTTTGAATAGTAAAGGACTCTAAGCACAAATGTTTTTTCAATAGTGTTATCCATTATGGAATTCTTAGAAATTAAAAATTATTAGATTTGTAAAATATTTAAATTTAAGATTTTTAATTTTTATTTATTGAATGATTAAATATAAACATACAATAATTAAACATCTTCATCATTACCAAACTTGTTCAAAATATTTCCAGTTAAATCATATTTCAATTGGTCATGTATACGCCTATCACGAACATGATTCCGTACGCCAAGCATATTACTAAGATTTGAATGCATGTATGTAGAATAGGACATATTCACATATGAACTTATGCTCGAGTCTCCTTCTTCAAACTCAGATGTATCATACTGAGTATATCCATTGCATTCATTTTCTACTATCATATTGTGTAGTATGATACACGTTCACATAACCATCCCTATTTGTCTCTTGTCCTACAAAATAGCCGGATTTTTCACTATCACAAATCGAGCTTACAATACTCCAAAAGCACGCTCCACTTCTTTTCAGGTTGCTTCTTGAACTTTAGCAACTAACTCTGCTTTAGGACCTTGAGGGAGTGAGATAGATTGGATAAATTTTGACGATTTTGGATATACCGTCCGTGAGGTAGTACGCCAAATCATATTGGTGTCCGTTGACCACGTATTGTACCCTTGGAGCTCGAACTTGTAAAATATCATCAAAAACAAGTGACCGATCGAGGACGTTAATATCGTTTAAGGTACATGGAGGACAAAAAAAGCGTGTTATATCCAAATATCTTGTGAAGCTACAGCCTCCAAGACAATTGTCGGCTTTCCTGATCCACATGTGTATTGTCTTTACCAAGAGGTTGGGAAATTTTTCCACTCCCAATGCATACAATCGATGCTTCCTATCATCCCAGGAAAGCTGCGTATCTCTCCAATATCGAGTAGTCGTTGAAGATCCTCTTGAGTGGGTCTTCGTAGATACTCATCTCCAAATAACTGTATTACGCCTTCTGTGAATTGGTTAAACACAAAAGTGCAGTGCTTTCACCAAGCTGGAGATATTCGTCAACGGCGTCAGCCGCACAACCATAAGCAAGTATACGAATTGCTGCCGTACACTTTTGTAGTGGAGATAGATCTAACCTTCCGACTGCATCTCTTCTTTGATGAAAGAATGAAACATTTTCTGAGAGGCGATCGACAATACGCATGAATACTGCCTTGTTCATGCGGAAACAACGTCTGAATAAATGAGCCGTAAATGTCGGATCTTCACTGAATTAGTCATTCCATAGAAAGTTGTGGCTTGCTTCGCGGTTTCGTTTGATATATGCATGTTTCCTCTGTTTAAATGTTCGATTCTCCACGATGTTGTTGTATGTATCTTTAAAATATTCATCGACAACCTCATCCAAAACCGCATTTAATCTTTGATCGACTTCATCTGCCATATTTGGCTATCCTTATAACAAATCAAGAAAGTATGTTAATTCGTAGTTGTATTTACACATTTAGTATGTTAAAACCAAAATCTTCATAACAATTGTGATAAATGATAAGGTCGAATCTACATTTGGTTTAATTTGGGATATTTTTCTTGTTTTGGATGGATTTACCTTCTTAATTTTCGCATAAAAATTTAATTTTAAATAAGTACTTATGGTTAATTCAAAGGCTTAACATTTTAACCTTGAAAATATATTTTAAAATGATTCAGCCTTAAAAGTATCTTTTAAAACATTTACCAGTCAATACGAAAATGGAAAATTGGTACAGAAAGTGTTAATTAGCTTTGTTTGGATCATAAAATCAAGGCAGTGGTTCAACATAATCGTATGAAACAAATGGCACCAAAAAGGCTATCAAAAGATACCATAAACTACACAAAAACACAACTTCATTAACTATCCATGAATTCAAAGTTTACCAAGTAGCTTCTTCAGTCGTTGAAGAGTGGGTATATGAAAAGAAGATGCTTCAAACTAAAACATCATAACAAGTTTTGAGTACAAGAAGAACAAAGGAAATAGCTCATAGCCGAGTCTACAAACAGACTTATAAAGGCAAGAAAGACAAGCAAAAACAAACAAAGTACCTGTGACTTGGTTCATATGGAAATACAAGCAAAAAAAAAAAAAATAAACTACCCGTGACTAAACAAGGAAGAGACAACAGCTTTTGTCTTTGTCAGGCACATGGTCTTGTACTTCACCTGAAATAGAGAAAATGAGATGAGTAAGCAAAGTAAAAAGATAAGAAAATGTGTACTAAAGTTAGAGCTAATAAACCAACAATCATCACAACATTTCATTAATAAGTTTCATTCTGAGAGCTAATTCCATCTCAGAGAGTGGGTCGGGCTTTACAAACAAACTTTCTAGCACATTTTTTCTTGAGATTTTCTTTTTGATCTCCAACAGTCCTTCTAGCTTTGCCAATTCTTCTTCTTTTCTTTTTTTCCACTTTTCTTCTTCTTGCTAGCAGCCTTAGCAGCCTTAACTCCTATTGGTCTCTCTTATGCCTCTGGCACACTGCCCCTCCAGCAGAATCCACTTGTTTTCTCTTTTCCTTAGCACTGTCCTTCTCCAGATAGGTGGAGCACCATTTCACATCACCTAAACTCCCTCCATGCATGTTCCAAGTTGAACTTCATGTTCTGGTCACTGTGGAAGATATTCAAGGCAGCTTTCATCACATCTTTGTCATTTTGCCTGCTTCTTGCTCCCTCAGTGCCATCTCGTAGCAGCCAACAAATGTATTGACCAAATCATTGATCCTAGCCCATATTTGCTTGCATTGCCCTAGTTCTGTCTGGGTTGTCCCAACCAGGAGAGGACTGGAGTTGTAGTAATCTACAATCCTATTCTAGAAGGCTATATCCTGGAGTTCATTACTCGCTATCGCATCTTTGCTGGTGTTGAGCAAGCACCAATGAGGATTTTATCCTCCTTGGGTGACCACTCTCTCCTCTCTTTGACACTAGACTCATCAGGATATTGGCTACTAAACAAAAGAGGTGACGATGAGTCAAGGTCAACTAACACTTGGCTGGCTAAAAGGTTAACCAAACTAAAGGAGTTTGCCATTTAGGAAGAAGTCTATGTGTTTCTCTAGTAGAAATGAAGATGATTAAATAAGGGATTTTATATTCAACTCTATTGAATCCTATTAGAAAATTGTCATATCAGAGCAGCTTGAGACAATTTAATGAAGTTTTAGTCTGAAAGAAGCAGTTTGGCACAATTTAAAGGTGGTTTAGTGTGCATTTATAACCTATCATTTCACTTTCGAATTCAAACTACAAAGTTAATCAGTTCAAACAAAAGTTACTGTTTTCAAACTACAAAGTTACAGACTAAAATTCGTTTAAATTCAAAATGGTAATTAAGTTTGAACTAGAGATTTAAAGAGTTCAAACAAGGAAGACAAGACGGGTAAGTTTATACACTAACCTCAGAGGACGCTCTCAAGTTCAGACACACGCATAAGCAACATCCTCACCTGGGCCTGAATAGACTTCAGAGAAACCAATCAATAGGTTACAAAGATAGTACAAACAACTATCAGTGTTATGATACTGATAAGATATAAAGTCATCTTAAGTTCTTGGCACTCTCTCTGAAGGTTCTCATGGTCGTGAACCCGTACTTTGAGCCTCTCAACCTCGTGTTGCACACCCATAACCCATGGTTGCTTGAAATGCAGCCCGTCATTCTGACAAAACAGAAAAAGCTTTGTCAAACAACAAATCAATATGGAAGAACAAGATTGATAATAAGAGACAAAACACTTCAAACCTAGTAGTCTTTGCAGATGAAATATCTTTTCCCAGGGAGTCATATGTATCCTCTTCATCTACGTTTTCCTTCTTGATTGATCCACATGAGCACAGTTTGGGAATCCCCTGTTGCGCATCTGTAACGAAATGAAGCATGTCGTAGTATGCTTTGTGTGCATTCATATGTCGCCATTCTCCCTCCATTTCAGAACCTGTAAGAAGCTGCAAATTAGCAATCCCATTGCAAACATATAAGCGAAACTTAAATCGATTTTGAACTCAATCCCAAACCCTTAATCGCGATGAAAACAACAAAGAAGCGAATCCAAAATAAAAAATAGCAAACCCAGAAGAAAACCCTAATTCGATTTAAATCCGCAATTCGATTTGAAACCCTAAATCTATTTGAACCCCACAATCGAACCCTAAAAACTGATGAAATCAACATGAATCAACTCCAAATGCAAAAACTATGAACTAAAACACTCCGATTTACCTTCAACACCGAGGATAAATTCCTTTCGCCTCTAGATGTTTTTTTTTTGGGTATTGTCGATCGAATAAAAGCGTTTTTTTCACTTACTACACACAACCCTAACCCGCACCAATGAGACGTTGCCAACTCATATAGGATCAAATCCTTATACTCCATAATTAAGGACCCTTTCTTAGCTTACAGAAATTTTAGAATATTATTTTAATGAATTTCGCATAAGGATTAGTGTTAGGGATCAGCTAAAATCCCGCGTTGTGGGTGCTCTTACTAAATCAATACACAATTATAGAGGAGATACCAAAACCCTTATCACATCACAGGACGGAGAGCCGACATTGAACAGTGACCCCATAATCCTAAACCAAACGACCGTCACAACCACCTCCACATCACAAGACGAGCCGCATTTTGGCTCACCCCCACTAGAGATGAGTTGGTCACGTCCATCCATGTAATCTGAGCAAGAGTAGGTACATTAGAGATATGCTTCACACTGAGAATAGATGAAACTTCAAAAGACAAAGAAGTTAGCTGCAACGAGCAATCCAACTGGATCAACTCGGTGCTGCAATGAACCAAATCCACACGCGCCACCCAAGGAAGGAGGGAGACAAGGTGAGCAAATGCACCACCTTCGACACTGGACACACAGCTCCAATGAAAACTAGGGGAGATTGCTTCTTCCACCCGAGATAGAAGCCCTTACCGGTTTATGAAACTCCAAAACTCTGGAGATGGAATATCCATCGATAAGAAACTGGTAACTTCACGAAAGGACTCAAAGCAGATGAGAGCGTAAGAACTCCACAAAAGCTGAAACGCGGAAACAATAGATCTCATAAAATCCCTTAACATAGCCCCCATGTGCCACCATCGAACCATGCAAGAGAACCATAAGCCAAACAAAAATTCCTGGAGTTGCATGAAATACACCAAAATTCTGACTCCGCCAGTTTGTTGCTGATCTACAGACTTTGCCATCACACCAAGACCACCAGAAGGCTCCGAAAAAACAGATATGCTGTGGACAGATGTCGAGTGTCACTGATGTTAACTCAAATATTTACCCTATGGAGCAACTTACTCTCTAAAATAAGAGATTTATTGCAGTACGTAGGGATCAAAATCCACAAGGAGCTATGGAACCTATTAAATCTAATCAATCAATAATCGAGGTGCATATAAATGCTAAAATGCAGTAGACACGTAAACATGAAATATTCTAATTAAACAAGACAATTACTTAACAAGAATGGAATGAGGGTTTTTCAAACTAAAATGGAAAGGTGCTAGACTTAGGGCTTTTATTCAGGTGTTGGGGATTATAATCCTATAAATGCTATCTAGTTGTTTGCATGGTATTAAAGAGCATTAACTATCTTAACAAAATTTACTAAACTATCATTTAATAAATAAGCCTATTGACTAGAATGCTATTCACCTAGACAAGGATGTCCGATAAATGACAGTGTCGATCGATTATTCTAGAGGAATATCGACATATTCACTTTACTCCACATCGATCGATATCTGATGGGAATATCGATCGATGCATCTAGTCAAGCGTTACACACGAGTTAACAAAGACTCACTAAAGATCCCTAGATCAAACTATCGCTGTATTTCTAAAATATCCTAGCTTAATTAGGATGTGTTGAAGACTATCAGAATTATTTAAAGATATCTAAATAATCTAATAATCTTAGATTCAGGTTTCTAGTTAGCATGTCTAGAACATGAGCATTAAGAACATCCTATTAATGAATACAACAACAAGGAATCCTATAGTTGGGCCTAATCCCTCTAACTTATTTGAACCCTAATTCTAACAAGTGAACTACTCAGGCATGGCTAAGAAATTCATAACACAAGCAAATAAATAAAACTGCATAGTATAGATAGATATATAAATAGAAAACAATGGAGTCCAATCACAAATCTCTCTGTTGATCTTCTCTCCCAAACTATAAATCCTAAAACCTTTTGCTGTAAAAAGAATACAAAAAAGCTTTCTCTGCCTCTAACCCTTTCGCAGAGATATAAACTTAGGATAAATTTTGTCAGGGGTAAAATTGTCATTTGGTGATGTTTGGGCTTGAAGTTGACCTGTCTCGCGAATTGGTCTCTGCGCTTTGGGTATCGATCGATCATGCATGGTGCATGTCGATCGATGTGAGTCACTCCATGTCGACCTCTATCGTCGTGGTCGATTCCAAATGGAGTAATTTCTCCAATTCTCTCTAAAATTCTCCAAAAACATCACTTTACTCCAAAATACTGCTGAACCTATAAATATGCTTAAAAGCTTCTATAATATAATAAATAGTAGTAAAAACACCAATATACCATGACTAAAAATGGGTGAAAATCATGGTATATCAAACTCCCTCAGACTTACCTTTTTCCTTGTCCTCAAGCAAAACAAACATGCAGTCTCTCTGAAAAAAGTTTGAAAATAGCATGGACTCACAGATTTAAAAACTTTGAAATCATCACATGTGTATTATTGCAATCCATATCTAAGAAGTTCTAATAACATAAGTTCATTATGCCATATCCTAGCTTAGCAACCAAATTCAACTAGCCAACAACTTAGCAAATACTATCTGACATTCCCCTCAACTAACCTCATTTCTTAACATAAATAAAAGTGCAGGCTTTACCTTGGGATTATCGATCACATGATGCAAAGATTCTCAAACAAGTATTTGGATCTGCAGGTAAAAGTTAGTTTATATATTTTCTCTATTGAGTCAAAATCTGCTTTAAGGCATGATTATTGACTAAGATTGGACATGCTTCCATAAAACAAGCCTTAATGGTGTTTGCCACCAAGTCCTGATCACTTCTTTTTGACCCATATCCAAGAATTCATATGAAGTGAGCCTTAATGGTTGTAGCCACCAAGTCCCATTCGGGCTCTTTTATTGGAATCATTATGAAGCAAGCCTTAATGGTTGTAGTCACCAAGTCATGTTCTGATTCTTCCAAACTAAAAACCTAATAAACTTAGTACTATTTTCAGATTTTATTTAAATACTATAAATCTACTTAACTATCTAGGGTCAAAAATAGAGAGAGGAAAGGTGATAAATCTACACAACGTTTTACCTTCCAGACTTGTTTGAAGAATCCGATCCCATGTATACCAAGCCCCAAGACAAGCAGTTGTGTCAGGTTTAGTGTTGGAGGTTAGTTTTGGTTCCTTCAAACAATCTAAACAAGTGTGAATAGATGATTGGTTGATCCACTTTAGCACCCTTAGTACTATATGTAATCATAAAATCTAGAATGGTGCGAAAAAATGGTTAGATAACAAGTATAAATCAAATACGGTCATTATCCATTTTCTTGAGCTTAATAAAAATGGTTTTGAAATTAAATTTTTATAAGACTCATATCAAATAAAATATCAGTAAACCTCCCCCAGACTTAAATTACACTGTCGCAGTGTAAAGAAAATTGGAGTTATGGCGAAAGAAAAGAAATCACAAGTACTCAATGTAACAAAAAAAAACTGACCGGGCTGAATAATCGATCGATGTGTATGTGAGTACATCGATCGTTTGACATGATCGTCTGTCAATCGATATCGACTGTCCGTTGTCGGTCGATGAGATGGTCATCTGTTTTTGCTTGGATCTTCTTCTTGTTTAGTTTTTTTTTTTAATTTTTAATTTTTTATTTATTTATAAAACCTGCAAAATGAAAAACAAAAAAATCAATAAAGGAAAATAAAACCAAAATAAAAAATTTACCTAATAGTGGGTTGCCTCCCACTCAGCGCTATGTTATAGTCATTAGGCTTGACTGTTGGCGTTGGGTGAGCTATTGTGTGGAAAAGGAGCTACTTGTTGGAAAACAAGTATCCACAACTTCTTTGTTGATATTGAACCAATGAGCCATGAAACTTCTTGTGGCTTCATCACTTCTGGCCCATCTTGCATCCATATTTATGACTGTGTCTACAATTTTTGGAGTCTCTCCTGAAGACTCTCAAATACCGATGTTGTTCCATTGAACCTTATCACAAACATGTTCTGTTCGTTCTCCTAGTATCTTGTTACTTGATGCAGATCTAACGAACTCTCCCTGTAACAGCTTCTTTCCTTCTGGTACGGACTCGGCATCGATCGCTGCGACAGCTTTGGTGTCGATAGATTCGGGTGCATTATCATTGATCGATGGAACCTTATGCTTGTCGTTCAATGCTGCAGTTTCAGGTCGACAGACGAGTCTTTTCTGAATTGTTTCCTAACTTCCTTCTGCAGTCAATGTTCCTGAATGTAGTCCACTGATGCTGTTGTTGAAGGGGAAGAATATGTCATCACATCTCTTTTCAAGCCTATCCTTGGTGGTGTTCAGAGATTTGTAGATCATATCAATGATCTGGTCAACTTTTGCTCTGGTATATAATTTCTGCTCTGGTAACTTCTTCACATCGTTCGATTTTCCTTTGCGTGCGTCGATCGATGATGAGGACGGTAGGTAGAAATCGAGTTGCATCTGAATGGTGGTGAAATCTTGTTGCAAAGCAGTCATCCGGTCATCCAAGGTGTGTAAGTACTGCATGAATGGTGACATGTAGTGATCGTGCTCATTTGTGCAGATCTTCATCTGGTTCTCGATGTCCAAAGCTTAGCATCGATCGATTTCATAACATCTGTATCGATCGATTTTCTTTTCTCATGCTTCTCCTCGAGTATCT